AGCAGCTCACAGGCAACCAATCTATAATAATTTTCCTTAAAAATATTTGTTAGACATGGCGTTCAGTGAGTCCGCAGATTCTGATTCAAATTTAAATATAATAGGTCAGAGCTGAAGACATTATTGCCAAAGAGAAGCACAAAAATTTTAATTACTCAGAAATTTATTGAAAAGCAATATTATTATTTTCTTTATTGCTTTGATTATATACCAAGTTGGGTCTAAGCTTGAGGAAAAATAAATTTGTTTTAATGACAAAAATATAATAAACAAAGTCATATTATCTAAAGAAATATTTTTTTCTAATGCCATTAGAGTTAAATTTAGACTTTAAAGTTTAGCTATTTTCCAAAACAAAATAATTTTCATTATAAAATGGTAACAATAATAGCAACTAATTTTTAAATATTTTTCTTTTATTTACATCTATTTGTGATAGCATTCAGGTGTTTAAATAATTTTTTTCTACATTTTTTTACACACATTTTACTATCAGAAATATTAATTGTAGGTTTTCTTTTCAAGGAAGGACCAAACCAAAATTTAAATAAAGATTTTTAAATTGAAATCTTAAATTTTTAACATATCGTATCACAAAGACCATACAATGCAAAACACAATTATTTTCTGACTTCGCATACTTGAAACATAGGCCGACAGCAATAAGAAGTGATATTATGTAATTTAGTTTCAATACCTTCCCAAAGCATTCCTAAATAATATCAGCGCTACATCAAATATTTTAGCAAAGTTCATTTAACAGATCTAAATACCCGGCATCACACAGTATTTCTTGTCTATGCTAATTAGAGCGACCCGGTTGAGACTGTTTCGAATAAAACTTTGCATACTTTGCAGCGCAGTCTAAGCCCCTGCCTTCATAATCATCCTTGTCTTAGGATGCATCGCAACCGTGTCTTGCATAAATCCATATGTCGGTACAAACGTAATTAATTTTAATTATCGGCCGAGAAGGCCAAAAAAAGCAAGCAAGCGATGTAGCTGAAGCCGTAATGTGTATGTATTCGATGTCTGTGTAGGTATACGTTTATATATATGAACTTTATATGTGTGTATATATGTACATATGTGCACATACATAGTCCGTTCATCTCCGACAGCGTCCATGTTGCTCAACAGTTTCTCGTGCGGAAATGTGCGCCGCTAGCCCAACAGGAACAGCGGAAGTGCTCTTAATGGCGAACGGAAAAAGTATTAAAATTATTTTTATGTGCCTGCAAGTAGGCAACGGTTTTTGCACACACACACACACACTCACATTTACGCACATACAACATGCATGGCATATGGCGAGCCAACCACTCATTAATTTACTTATGCGCCAAGGCAAACAGCATTAACCACTACTTCACGTACTTCGCCCCCACTACGGACTTTTTGTCTGAGAACAGAGGCTTTTAATTGTTTCGATTCCTGGATTTGGGCCCTCGTCCTTGTTGTCTGGATCGTCAACAAGGCGTAAAGTCAACTTTTTGTATATTTGCCTTTTTCTTTTGTCTGGCTGTTGCCTCCATGGGCTTCGCCAAAGGCAAATTTCGAAGTCGAAATGTATGTGGTTGATTTCTTCGCGCTTAAATAATTCAACAATTACAATTACTTTTGTGGTGATTTATAAGTTATGTGTGGGACTTTCTTGTTCTAAGGTGTGGGGTCTTTCTGTTATTGTTTTTGTTTCGTCTGCGTTATTATTCAATTGTTCTCTTTAAGGGTTGCTGCTCCTGTCCTGCTGTTGAGTTTCACCCTCGTGTCTGGGCAATAATGCTGGGCAAACAGGCCGACAAACCACGTCCATGTCCTTTGGGTAAAGAGCTTTTGTTTGCAGCGTAACAAATTAAGATTAATTCAATGTAAATATTTTATGGTGAATCTTTCCACTCTTTTTGGAAGCTGTTTGAGTGAATAGATAGGAAGTGCTTGTTGTAGATCAATTAGCTCGGGGGTAGATTGTGCATTCGACAGACCCATAGAAAAAAGTAAAATATATCAGACGAGAACAATCACAAGATGCATTGAGGAAATGTCCTATTAAGAGGATTTTTATGGTATATGTGCATGAGGAAAATGCCATTGTCGGAAGTTTCTTTGGAAAAATGCCAAATTTAATTTCAACAATAGATGTTACATTTGTATTCGTCGCATCTGTCACATTTGAGTGCAAGTGTGTGCATTTAATTTCTCAGTTCGCTGCAAAGCATGACACAAAAAAAGTAGCAAAAAATAAATAAACAAACGAGAATAGAGCAAAAAAATGTACGAAATGCGCTAAAAATGCAAGCTTGTAAAACGCAGACATTTGACAGATAGACAAACCGAGTATGTCTTTCTCTCTCTCTCTCTCTCTCTCTGTGTATGTGTGTGTGTTTGTGCGTGTGCATGTGAGTGTGTATTTGTGTGTAAAGTGTGCTCAGATGCTTTTCCATCTTCATTCATCATATACGCGAGCTGTTGCTTTTGTTGTTGTGGTTGTTGTTGCGTAATTAAGCACGCATGTTGTATGCCGTTGACATTTTGTATGCCACACACACATACACACACACACACACGCGCGTTCAACCTCATTTATGTGTGTATGTTGAACTGCTTGGCGCCGCAAAGTATGCAATGCAGCGCAGTGCACCTTGTGACTTATGTGTGTGTGTGTGTGTGCGTGCACTATTAATCAAAAGCAGACGATGCCTCAACTGCCTCCCACCACCCCACCCCCTCTATGCCGACGCTAAATTCAATTTTCACAATTGCTTTGCCTTTGTCTTCGACGCTGATGATGACGCTTACGATGATGATGACGATTCTGCCGTTGATTGTCATTATTCTGAGTTTTCTTCTTCGTTGCTTTCATCAGCATTATTATCATCATAGCTATAATTTTTATCATTTTTATTGCCTTGGTGTGGCATTTTATGTTTTTCTTGCTGCCGCTCGAGGTTCGACTTTTTGACATGCCCGTTAGCCACTTAACAATTGATGCTCCAAACGAACTTCTTATCAAGTTGGCCGCACACACACACACACACGCACACATTCGTATTCATAAATGGCAAATCACTCATACGCCCCGTGCTCACGTGCGTTATCAAAATGACGCCTGCAATCTGAAGAAATTTGTTGTTTTACAAATCTGTCGCTGATAAGCTCGCGAATTTGCATTCGAAAATGTCCGACGAGATGAGCATCCTCGTCGTGACCCAACAATGCAGCCAAACAAATGCATTTTTGGCCTGAATGCGAGAGTCTGACTGGCTGTCCTTCATCGGTTGGCTTTGGTTTGCTGCGTTTCTATGCCAGCGAATTTCGCATTATGGGCGAACGTAGGCACGTGATTGTGTAATTTTAAATGGAACTTGCAGTTGCTAGCAGATACACTGCGCGAAATTGTTATTGAAATTGAAATTGTTTATCAACTGTTATCGAAATTCGAATCTACTTTGAAGCTGTTGAGCATGTAAGAAATGTGTTGCTTTTATTAATTTTTGTTTCTATATTAAAAATACAAGCTTAGTTAAATATTTGCTAGTCAGATAACACAGATTATCAAAGTTTTAAAACTTCAGTAGAAATTCTTATAAATCTTATTCTAGCAAAGCATTTTAATGAAATTCAAAGAGTCTTAATGAGTATTATAATTTGTATGCATTTATTAATGGAATATAAGTAACTGATGTAGAGAAAAATATAAAATAGCATTTGTCTTTTGTATTACACTATGCTCTTAATTGTGATTTGTGAAAAAGGTTCAAGAAAATTTATGTTCTTTTTTCGATTTTCGACAACATGAAAATGGGAAAAGAAATGAAACATTTGATCTTAGAAATGCTAGATATGCCTATTGCTATTTTTCTTTTTATTAAAACTAATTATTTATTGGAACTATTTATTGATTTATAAGCTTTAATTCCGAACTTGCAGAACGCTAACGAGGTTTGGGGCGTGTAAAATCGTCATCTTTAGCCTAACATGTATTCTCGATCAGAAACAGTTTAGTGCAGTTGGCATAATACATTTTTTGAGTTAAGTAATACATGAGTCGATTTTATTATCCAGCGAGATATGAAGATTTTGGTTCTTTTTGTAAATTTCTCGCAGTGTGACAGTCAGAGCTACACCTAGCCAAACAATAAAGGACATTCATTTAGAAGTGTAGAGGCATCGCCGTGTGTATTACGCATTTGCGAGTTGCATTTGAGTTTGTTTAGATTTCGAGGATAAATGTGTGTTGCTGTTATTGGATGTTGTTGGCTGCAATTGTTGCTGGCATTGCTGCTTTTCGTGATGACGATGAGAACGATAGCGACTGTACACTTATCCAAACAGAATCTGCTCTCAAACAGCTAGCATTCGTTAATACTGATGCTGTTGTTGTTATTGTTGTTGCTGCTTTTGGCAATGTATATTGCGTCTGGTATGCTGCTGCAGCGTGTGTTGTCTATTTACTTTTGTATTTGTTTTTAATTAGATTTTTGTTTACTGTGGAAATTTTAGTTAAATTGAGTTCTGTTGCGAATGCGGTGGCTGTTCCTGCCCCAAAGTCATACATATAAACGAGACAGTCACACACACACACACACATACACCTACACCTACAGATACACACACACCCACTCACACAACAAGCACCCATCTCCCACTCATACAATCATCCACACACTACACAAAGCTCAAAGCGCGCGTCAGTTTTGGCCGCAGGCTACATGGCAATGCGTGTGTTACTGCATCTATCAATTTATCCCCTTTCCCACATATATACAGACATGTGTGTTGCATTTGTATTTGTATTTGTACTGCACCGAGTAGCGGCTTTGAAAGCAATTTAAATTCGTTTGCATTTTAGCGTTTGACTTTTGCATTCAGTGCCATTTTTGGGCGCATTTTGTGGCATCGTTCGACAGTCTACTGCACTTTTTCCATTTTTAGGTTTGTCAATAAAAAGTTTTAGCAAAAGCCGGGGCAGACAAAAAAGTGTTGATTTTTATCACACTTACCAAACGACGTGCGTCAGTGAGGCGGGATTCGACACATATTCACAATTGAGCAGCACAATTTCGCTGGTGTTTGTCACCATTTCCGGCGGACTGACTTTAACGACGGGCGGATCTAAGAATAGCATAAAGAAACAGTCAATTTTAGTTTGTAGGTGGGCATAAGTTCGAATTTCAAAACCTTAACTAATCAATTAAAATTCATTGTCATTTATTCAAGTATTTCAACAGCTTAATCAAATTTGGTCATTCAGGACATTCCAACATGTGCTCTGACATGACTTAACAATAATATTCGACTACATATTTATACATATTTTAAAAAAAAATTTGAAACAGAATAATACTTTCAAGGTTTACACTTACATAGAACATCCAAGGTTAAAGATGAGGCCAACGGTTTCTCCCGATTGATTTGCAGTACAATGTTCTGAGCTTCGCAACGAAAGACGCGATCATTTTCGAATCTTGTGGCATTAAAGATGAGTTCAGACTGTGTGTGATACGTGCCGTCCTCCTTTTCAAACTATAAGATTGGACGAAAATTAGAAAGAAAATGATAAATTGAATATATGACCCAGATTTCGATTATATTGGTTTTTTTCTATAAAAAAACGTATTTAAATTAACAAAAGAAATTGATTGATGTTTGAAAAATACATTTTAAAAACAGAACCTGTCTCCTTAAAAGCTAACAAATGTCAACGTTTTTTTTTTTTTCTTATAAAACTTATCTAAGTTGACAAAGGAAATTGGTTTAAGTTTGAAAAACAAATTTTAAAAACTTCACCTGTCTTCCTAAAAGCTAACGATTGTCAAAAGAATGGGTTTTGAAGAGCTGTTACTAATGGCAGAAGTAGTTTCGATACACTTACTATATCGAATAAATACTCTCATCTTAGGACATTTATATTAGAAAGTATTTTGTGATTCAAAAATAAGAAATTCAATGACACTCACCGCTTTAGTTCTGATCTCGGTGAGATCGTTTTCCTCCGGACTTACGACCGATGTTGTATTATACCAAGTCAGATTGACTGCAGGTCGTGCACCGTATATCTGTGGACAAGAAAATTGTATTTTTAAACGACATCAATTTTAACTTCAACTTAACTTGCAGGCTAAAAGGGTATAACTTCCCATGCCAGCTAAATGAGCCATTGCCATTACATTTCCATTAGCACACACACACACACACACACACAAACGCACACGCACAATATACTGACTGAGCACCAGCAGAGTAACGGGAACAGCCTTTGACATTTTGTGCCTTGGCGCAGGGTAAGAAACAATTGCATAAAATTCCATTACACATAATACGCAATCAATAGACAATTTTGCATAATTTTGTGAGCGCGCGTACAGGAGCAAGACACGCACAGACGTGTGTGTTTGTATTTATGCATGGGTGTGCGTGTGTGTTAAAGTGCGACTAAACTGCATTCAATTCAACTACTGGTGCTCACATTAAAATGCAATGGCTATGAGAAGGCGACGGCCAAAGACAATGTAAAGCCAGGAAGTCGACTTTGGGACACATGTCGATGAACGGCAATGACGAAAAATTGCAAAATAATTGGCAGTTAATTATTGTCAATTACATCGATGGCCAACAACGAAGGACTTGAAGGACTGAAGTCTGTGTGCTGAAAACTTAAACTATGTCCTGCTCGCTCACTACTTACGTCACATGTTAGCACCACTTTGCTGCCCTGCACCGTATGATGTTCCACACCGTTGATGGTTATGCTCGTCGGCCTCACTGCAACAAAATAAGACGATTGGAAAAAAGAGTAGAGTACAAGAAGTTGGGGAAAATTTCTTAAAATGTCTGCAGGCATGTAATTGGCTTTTGTCTGCCTAGTTGCCTGCTTCTGTAGTCTGTAGCCTGTCGTCTGCGTCTTTTTCTTTTTAATATAAAACATTAATAATGGCAATTTGCATGTGTCTGCCATTGCCTGGGACATGGCAGCGCGCCTATGTCTATGCAGCACTTCATGGCGAGTCATTTGCATAGAAAATGTTCGCCCCCACCTGCCTGCCGCCCATCAATCAATTCATTCACTTTGTAAACAAAAAAAAAAAAAAAGGAAGGAACAAAAAATGTACGCAAGCGCTTTTGTTGCTCAGTTTTATGTTTCATTTAATGACTTTCATTAATTTTTTGTGTGTAGCAAAATAAAATGGCAATTCATTCGTCAATCGCAAAATAATAATAAAAAAAAATAATAGGAAAAAAATTGCTGCTTACACTTGGGCGTCAGACTTTTAATTATAAAAATTAATTTGCATGACTTTCAAAGTCAATGCCTCCTGAGGAGGGCCTGTGTCCTCCGGCCCTTTTTATTGTTAGTTGTTTTGATGTTAGAAGGGTTGACACTTGTCGGGTTAATGAACCCGAAATATGTCCAAGTGCTTGTCATTTGTAATTTATGTTGATTTAAGCAATTCCCAATTTGGAAAAGTTTTGAGAATACGATATACAATTAATCACAGGCTTAAGCTGTAAAGCTCTACGCTTTTTAAAGGTAATTTACCCAAAAGATCTTTAATTTAAATAAAAAGCATAACCCAGTCAGGTAAAGTCAATAATAAGTATTCAGATATCTTAACTTTCTAAAATTTTAATTTAAATGTTAATAAATTGAGAAAAGAAAATATAAATCCACATAAATCGGCTCATTTCATAGCTGGAATGGTAGCTCCAGGGGAAGATAACGCTGCGGTTTTGGTTTTGGTTGTCGTCGAGAAAGTTCACCGGACGACAAGGCTACCTTGTAACTGGGGAACTGCTTTGTAATTGTTTTTAGGAAATTATGCATGATTCCAATATTCTGTTTAAATACCACCGCAGCCGTTATTATATATAGTTAAGATTATAGATGTATCTGATATTGATGATTGATTTTCCAAATTTTCTTACATTCGCAAAATATAATATTTTTGAGTTTGACTTTTAGCTAAGCGTTTTTTATTGTAGTTGGGGCACTACATTTCTTTCTTCTTTCTTTATATCTAACTTCTAAAACTATCGAGCTTTTAGGCGTCTTTTTCAGCATGAAATCAAACTATCCTAAAGATGTTACAAGCATATATGCATTCATTTATTTTTTAAGTGCACTTGAGGTTAAGCAATTATTTAATTTTTTGAAACCATCAATGCATTTATGTTTTCATGCAATGCTTCGGCAGTTCTCGATTTCTAGAATATGTACATCCCTAGTTAGTCGTTAGTAGGGTTTTTGTAACCAGTCATTAAAGAGCAAGGCAAGTTTTTACCCGTAGTGTGACCAAAGCTACAACTTTTAAGTTGATTCGTGTTTTTCATTTTAAATTATAATACCAAACCGTTACACAAGATTAAATTAATTTTATAGATTTTTGAAGCTTGCGAAACATTTAAATAAATTGCAAAACAAAATCATAAAATCTACATGTGTACGAGCATATTGGTAATAAAACAAAGCCCACCTAGAGGTTTGTGATGAGTCATTCGTATTTAACGACAGACAGTTGAGTCATATTTGTTCAGCCGTGTTTATTTTTAGGTAAATGACTCACCTTGTAAATCAACGCTAAATTTGGCAACAATTTCATTTTTAATTGCTGCCGATTCCACACGACATTCGATATCTTGCGCCAAGTCCTCACGCGATAATTGCCATTCCAGTTCAAGTGTGGACGTATAAAGACCATCTTTTTGATCGTGTGTAGGTGAATCTAAATATGCCGTGGGGAAAAAAAATGCAATAAATATTATTAGGCAACATATCTAAATAATATTTAAAAACAACAAAAACTTTAAACGTAAATGTTACTCTTAGTTTCATATCACAATTCATATAAGTTATAGTATTATAAATGTCTTTTTCTATGGATATTAAAACCCAGCTCACTTTATCATTCAATATCTTCGGTTAGTCATTCAGAATATTTGTCTGCAATAATCATAATGCATAATCAAGTTTGTTGTTAACACAATTGCTTTCATAAATAACCCTTTGATAATTATGGCCCAGTTGGGAAGAACTTGTGCTATTTAAAAAATAACTGTGAAATTTATGAATTGGGTTTTCTCATACCGACTACAATACCGACAATTTAAAACGTGCGTTCTTCTTAGTTCGATAAATTATTTGAATTTGGAGCCTCTAAACCCTAAGCATTAGAGCATTGCCTGGTTTGCCATAAGAGTGATTGGTCCGAAATGTAAAAAAGGTATTTAATATGAATTAATGGTTGATTGTAATTGACTCTAATATCAACCTATTGCTAGAAGTATTTTGCAGTTTTGGTTAGGTGTGTTATAAATCATTATAGAATCGTTTTAGGAAAGGAGAACGGCCTTTTCTGAGTTCTGTACACCTGTTATCATTTTCTAATCCCAAGGTGGCTAAGAAGCCAAAGGCCATGATTTAAAAAAGCCACCAAACCGAATGTGGCCTCATTCTCATTATTTTTGATGGCAAATTAATTACAAAAAAGGGCTGATGTGAAAATCTTGTTAAGTGCTTTTCAAGGCCAACCCGAATGGTAATAAATGGGTATGATTTCATTTTTTTTTTAATTATTATTATGATTATTATTCTCCTTTTTTCTTGTAAATAGAAATCAATTAATTTACTTTAAGCAGCTAAAGGCTGAACTGAAACTGTAGCTGTAACTGTTTAGAAGGCCACCTAAGGCACTTAAAATTTTAATGAAAATGCCTCTAATTTTATTTTTATGATTTACAATAAAAAGGCATAAAATTTTATAGTCCCCGTGCTCAGTTGGCGACTACTGTGTAATTTTATATGCAAACTGATAAATACACGAGCCGCCGATTTCGGCCCAGTCCCCATTTAGAGGCATACATAGGAGTATGTATACACATAAATCCTTTACACGCCCCCGAGCGGCTTTATAGGCCAGTCACTGCATAAACTTTGTGGCGCATCGTAAAACCTACTGAGCAGGCGCGCCTTGGCTTATGCATCAAATTGGCTACTTAAGTTGGCCCGGAATCAATAAACGCGCTTCAGCTGCTTTTATGACTGTAACGCGGCTTTCTAAAGCTGCCAAAAACTTTTATGTCCTGCTACCTTAGCGAGCTAGCCAACCAGCCAGCTAGTTGGTTGCGGACTGGGCAGGATGGTTATGGCCTTAGATTTGAGATACTTACATGTTGCTAGCCGTTTGCTGCCGCGCCACCAACCCACATCCGGCTGCGGGCGCGTGTTCCGCACTATGCACGTCGCCTTGAGCGTCTGACGCTCCTGCATGGGTCCCACGACACTGCCATTTTCGATGCGGTCGCCTTTCTCGTCCAAAATCACAACCTCCGTGGGTGGCACTGTACGTTCGGTTTGAGGTTGTCGGTTTCCGGTTTTATTTTTGCAACGCCATTGCGGCCGTTGTTGTCGTTGTTGTTGTTGTTGTTGCAGTTGATGTGTTGGTGTATGTGTGTGGTATATGTGTTTTGTGTAGGTGCGTGTGCGCAATTTTCAAATGTCGATTGTGTATTAATTTTTTTTTTTTTTGTATTTTAATTTTTTCGGGAGGTAAAAATGTTGAATTTGTGTTTTAATAAATAATATGTATATATATATATAATTATTTGTATTGTTTGCATTTAATAAAAAGGTTTTAATTAAAGGAATAAATGTTGAAAATAAATGAAAATCGAAACTAAATACCAGAGCAGCATTTTTGTTGAAAATGATTCTGAATTTTTAACGAAAGCTAAACTATTGAAATAAAGCATTTTAGTAAGTTATTTTCAAACAAAGGCTTAATTAGTCCAGCAATTATAACTTAAATATATGAAATATGATATTCAATGAATATTCAAACAATGACCAAATTGTAATTGAAAACTAAAAAAAAAACAAAAGCATTTTGTAAAATATGACGAAAATATTTATTATGGGTGTAATTATAAAGACCTTGTAACACTTCTCAGCTGAGCTTCAAAAAATAGTTAGTTACTTATTTCTTATTTCCGTCTCAGGATGTTCAAGCACGATGCTTTGTAGTATGGGGTATGAGAAGTATTACCAGCTCCGAACTCTCTCTGGTTTTGAAAAAATAATAAAAAGTGAAACGAAAAATCTCTATAACTTGAAAATAAACCCCGTCACCACATTCTTGGAAATATCAAAAATGCTTTCACAGAAATCAAAAAACTAAGTATGCACAACTAAGTTCATATTTTCGTCAATATGTTCATTTCGCTTGCTTCTTATTTTCAAAATTAAACAAAATATAAATAAATAATTTTGATTAATATATTTAAGTTAAATTTACCAATGTTTTCTACGTTTTTATGCGAAGTTTTTCAAACGTATTGTTGGTTGATTGGGTTTTTAAGGGCAATTTTAAATAAATGAAGTTTATTTAAAGCATTTCGTTGGAGTTTAAATTGTTTTTCGGGTTATTTTCCATTTTTAATTTTTAGTTTTTTTTTGCGGTTCGTGTGGGGGTACACAGTTCAAACATTTCGGTGTATATATGTATATATAAAAAAAAAACAATAGATTGGTTTATTTTTTATTAGAGTTTTTTGGGTGAGTGAGTACAGAGCGTGGCGTGGTGTTTGGTTTTTGTTTTCAGTATCGATTTTTGTTTTGTTAGAGCGAATTTGTTTTGAGTAGATTTTTAATATTTTTTATGGCAATGCATGTATATGTATGGTATTTATAAAATTTCCATGTCGATGTTGACGAGCGTTTGTATGCGATTTTGTTTTTGATATTGTAGGAAATTTTTTTTCGTTTGGTTTTTTTGAAAAGTACAATCAGTTAAGAGAAAATATTTGCATGAGTTTTGACACGTTCAAATGTTATGGAAAATAGAGTAAGTTTTTGGGTTGCACTTTCAAATAGGTTTACATTTTTATAGTATATGGCACACTAAATATACATATATGTATGTAGCTATTGCTTTTGGATTTTATATACAAATACAAACATGGGTGTAACGGCAGGCAAAAGGCATACACTTTATTTGCAATGAAAAATAAAATGAATGCAATTAGTTCGGGTTAAATGTTAAGAACTTGATGGTGATGGTCAAAGCGTTGAGTTCGTTTCATTCTAAATTGAATTGCCTGATTGGCGTGATGTATATGGTAACGGAATTTGCTTAAATAACGACTGCTGGCTGTTGGGATCTGTTAAAACCGTTAGTCGCTTGATATTTTGATAGATTTCCATTTAAAAATATAGTTTTATGAATGCCATTGGCATCGCGGTATTCGTCATTTTGTTTGACTGAATGAACGCATGAACGCTTGCAGTTTGAAAAGGAGGAAGCTGGGGCCATCAATTCACATGTGTTAACCCCTTCACGCCCCTTTAAAAATATACGTAATTCACTAACTTTAAGTAGATTTTTAATCATTCTGTCCACTCCAAATGTTAAATAAAGTTATGAGTTTTTTCTTTACAATTTTTCATATACTCAGTCTCAGTGTCAGTTGCTAGCAAATTCCATTGACCATTACAGAAACTCATACTTAAATATGCTATTCAAACGCTTTGCCTCATAATTGAATTTGTGTAAAGCATTGCAGACAAACACAGAAGCATCTCAACATTCCCTCAATACATGCAATACGAGTATTCCAACATTTCACTTATACGCAGGGGTTAGTTAGCAGCGCATACGATGTCCATGCATAATCTTCCTTTTATGGCATTAGTTTAATTGGTTAGTTTTATGTTCTCCTCAAAGCAAACGAAACACAAAAGCCTTTTTACACATACAATAAGAACACAAATTAAATAGAGTTATATTTACATGTGTATGAAAATATACGAAATATTTACAAAGTAAGCGCAAATGAAAGGTTATGAATGCAAATAGAGTAAATGGATAGAGCGCAAAAATTTCTGTTGCAATTTTGTAGCGCATGCAGAGCTGAATAATCAATTGGGGTTGCATGAAGAGATAGAAAAAGGATAAGGATTGTATTGGGATAACTTACCTAAGACTCTCAATTCGACACGATAGCCATTGAAGTTATCACACGTTTCTTCTGGTATAAAAAATGTTGTATCACATAGATAGATATCCTCATCAGATATTTTCAAGTCCTTAATAACTAATCTGTATGGATTTTGCTCAACAGTAACTCTGCAAGGAAGAAATTATTAATCGTTCAAAAATATACGTTCAAATTTAAATTTTGATGTTTCTATTATTAGTTTAAAAATTGTTTAAGCCTATATCTCAGTTTTAAGGATGACTTTAGACCCGTACCCTTGTTATGTATATACTTACATATTGAAAAAAATTGCCTATTTTAACTTTGGCTTAGAAATTTAGTTTTCAAGCCAATACACACTTCAGAAAACAAAACGGAATTTAAGTAAAATGTAAGTTGAAATCGATGTCGAATAATTAGACATTCATTCGCATAAAAGTTAATCTGAGTCCATAAAACAAGATTAGCCAATAACTTGATTTTGCTGAACGTAATTAATTAAATGATTATTCAACTATTCATTTAATCTATCACTCGAATGTGTGTTGATTACTTTCTGTGATATATATTTTTTTAACGGATATTTTATAAAGCTGACCAAACTCTGTTGACCAAAAAAGTTGAATAAAGTGCTGAAAAGGTTTAAAATCTTTCCTATGATTAATATTTATCAGTGTAGAAAAATACTTATGATTGTTACTTTGTTTTTCGCCGCATTTTCTCTCAATCTACTACATTACTGAAGGTTCTTTTGCAACATTCTTCAATATATACGGAATAAGTAGTTGGCACAAATTGAATGCTTTGTATACATTATCTTTCTTGATACTCACCTATTCTCAAATTCCTTATTCACACTGGTCACATTGCTATCCCCAAGCAGCATCGCAGCGATGCGATCATCGCCCTTAAACCAATTTAATGAATGCAATTTTCCACATTTCTGCTCATTGACGGGACAGGGGAGCACCACAGATTTGCTTTCATGTTCGCTGATAGTATGATCTGCAAGTAGAGGGGGAAAATGCGCAAAATAACGAAATCAGTAATGATTAATTTACATGATAAGCAGCCATAAAAGCGCATTACAAATTAAATTAAGTTGGAAGAGCTACCACGAAACTACGTAGCATAAGACTCAGTCAACCAGCTAGGCCAGTTATTTAAGCCAAAGGCAAAACGAGTCAAAAAGGCAGGCAGATAAGCGGCTAAGGAAAAGCCACACACACACATTGATACCATACACACACACACACACACACACACATGTGCACGGCCATTCAAATTGAATGTTAGGCGGAAGAGGAGGCAGCCGATGCTCATATGAATAAAGGCGCCACGCGTGTTGTATGTTTAGACTCATAAATTCAAAAGGACACTTTTTTGTGTGTAGGCGATAAAGGCGCCGCAACAGCAACAGAGACTACAGCAGCAGCAACAACAACAACAACAAAGGCCACCCGGCAGCTACACATTTTTATTCTTGCCCCATTCAGTATACAGCTTTGACTTCATGTGTATCTGTTGGTTAGTTTGTAGCCATAAAAATGCGCTTGCAAAAACGTGCAAGAGGGGGTGAAAAAACCAAGCAGGAAAGGCGGAAAAAAAGAAGAAAAAAAATGAAAATGAACATCCTGATTCAATTTGCATAACGTTAACCACCGTCTGGCATTTGGCCACCGACCGCGAGGCAGTTGATCAAAGTCAGCCAGTTGGCTGCCTCATCTGCCAACCTCGGCCATCAACTCTGTTGCTCTCTACCGATTGCAGCAAAAAGCAATGCAAATTGCTCGCAAATCTACTTTTTCAAATTGAAATTAAAGTGGCATTAAGTGTGCTGGCTAAGTAAGCCTTTAAGTAGGCTATAAATATTTTGTTTTCGCTTTGCTTTCAACTTCTCTTTTACTCTTACTCTTAGCTCCACAACTCGACCGCTCCACTACCACTTTCTCTGTAGGCTTTGTCGATTTTCGTATGTAAATTTGTGTGTTTACATTATGGTTTAACATAAGTATTTTTTGTTGTTTTCTGGCGGGGCTTCGTTAGCATTTTGTTTATGCTTAGCATTGATTTATTTGTATGTTGCTGTACGTGTGTGTGGTTGTGTGTGTGGTTGTGTGTGTGGTTACGAATTTATGCAAAAGCAAATATGTAACTTGTTTCGCTTTTAAATATTCGACAATATTGACATTCGAAAAAGTTATAAAATAAAAATAACAAGAATAAATATACATTGCATCTGTAAGCATGTGTATTTTTTTATTCTCTTAAATGCATAAAATGATGGAAAACGATTATTTTACATTCTTAAAGACGAAAGGTTATTTTTTGGATTTTTCTCAATTATTATTTAAATGGACAAATAAGATTTAAAGCGCCTAGTCTGACCCTTCCTGGCATTGCCTTCCTACACATGAGACGTTATATTAAATTAAGACCGATTGCTTTATTTTCTCTATTTGTCAATGGCTTAATGTTTTACCTTTCTGAAGATTGCTTAATTCAACAGCATGGATTGGAAATATCCCCACAAATCCATAATATTTTAATAGTTTTGCTGCTTACATTGAAGAAAATTTGTTATTTATGTATTGCTCTACATGCCACTTCACAGACATACCCTTACACACACACATACAATAATACGAGCTTGAAATGCATAAAAAATACAATTTTCTTATCAGCCTAAAAGCCTATAACATAATTTGAAATTTACGCTCCATTTAGTGTGGCTCTCTCGCTTCATGTGTGTTCGCCTGTGAGTCCATCCACTCGTTCGTCCGCTATCTGTCTGTCTGACTGACTGTGAGTGTTATAAAATATCATTTATTTCACACGTTTGTGCCCCGCTGCCCCCCCCTCTCTTCAGTCATACATAAACTAGCTTGCACAGATAACGCGGTGGCTCTGGCAAAAAAAAAAAGAAGGAAGAAAACTAACTTGTCCATCTTGTGCCGAGCTTTGCAGCGCACGTCAGCCATAACTGACAATCAGTTTGTCCTTGTGTGAGTGTGTGTATGGTTGTCTATGTGTGTGTGTGTGTGTGTCGTCCTCTTTGCCGTTTCTCTTCCGCAAATATCCTGCATTTCTGTGGCATATTAGATTATGCGCCCGGTCGTTTCTGCCCAGCCTCTTTCGCTCCGACTGCCTTTATACGTTTTTTATTTTTTATTTTCTCAATTTTTCTATTTGGTTTGTCGGCTGGGTTGCTGTTTTCCTTTCCTATCTCTGCTACACTTCCTCTTTGCTTATAAAATTCAAACAGACATGTGAAATATTCAATTTCTCAACTAGAAAATCCTGCCAAGCTAGCCCCAGCACCATCCTAGTCCCCGTCTAACTGTAATACGTAATATGTTGCCCTGAATTAGCCGTGGCAAATGCGTAGTCCTGCTCGGTTGAATTTGTGCTCGGCTTGTTTTCGTGTGTGGCAGCAAAAGGTTATGCGTGCTTTTTATTTTCCTATGGCCATCTAAGACATACCTTTGTTGCCCTGCAGGTGTGTATGAGTAGAAAATTGAACTTGATGGCAAAAGGGTACGAAAACTATTATCTAGGTTGTCACAAACCTATTTACATAGTTTCACAAATGCAGGGTATGTGATGGAAAGAGGTTGGAAATGCTTAGAAATTTAATTTGTAATTAAATATTCATTAAACCTAAGCTTTGTTCAACGATTTTTGGACATTTGTTTGTTACTTTATGGCGAGAAACAAGGGAAGATTTTCTATCGCACATCCAACACTTAATGTGATTCAAATCAATTGTTTTAAGGATGCAAATGATAATCAAATAATAATAAAAGTATGCCATATAAAAATGTTATTCATACTAATTTGAATATTATTTGAAATCCTCTTCTTAATGATTAATTCAAATTAATTTATTTGATTAAATAAATTTATCTGATCACCCTTTTAGTATCTGTTTCCATTCACTTTATGGTAAGCAAGTCGATAGTATTCTTGAGCCAAGGTAACGATGAAGTAGTGGCTCTACAATAAAACAATTTTTCCATCATTCCCCTTCAGTTGATTTATTTGAGAATTTGGGAGTCAAATTTGCATAATCCGCAAATTGCAATCAAACAAAAGACCAATTAGTGTCTACCTGAGCACTTTTCAATGAGAACGGCCACAAACCTTTGCAACTCTGGCCGCTATTGGCACACACATTAGCTCACACGAGTGTGTATATGTAGTAGTGAGTCGAAAACTTTCGCAGGCCACAAACACACACAAAACCCACTTTAAATTATAATTGCACACAAAGCCAACCGATTCGGCAATTCACAAAGTTGTCACCCATTCCTCTCTCTCTCTCTTTCCCTAGCATTCCGAATCCAAAATTATCACCTCATTTTTCACATTTGAACTAATTTGTGCCAGCACCTGCAACATAACCAGCCCCACAAAGTCGTAGTCAGCCAAGCGAGTGTCGAGAATTAGAGAAACCCCATTCGCACATTGCCCACAAAAAAGCCACACCCTGAATTTTCAGCAAAAGCAACCCCCGAGCCCTTGAATAACGGCTGTCATACAAAAGATTGTTAGCAATCAACTCAAGCACCAAACTTTGATTTGTATGACCATAAATCGCACTTCATTTTTGATTCAGCCAACACCCACACCCACACACATACACATACACATACACATGCACACGCACACCCAACCAAACACACAGCTTGTGGTTTTTCCTGTTCATAAATTTTTTGTGTCCTTCCCCTACCCACCGCCTACTGCCTCCTCTCAAGCAAGGAAAAGCGGCAACTTTTGCAAAGTTTTTAGGTTCTGCTGCTGCTGCTGCTGCCGCTGCCGCTTCCTTCCATCAACTCACATGGTAGTCGCCCCTTTAAGCCTTTGGCAAACAATTTTCTTATCTTCGTGGCATGTGTGTATGTGTTTGTGTGTGCTGTCGTCCTCTTGCCCTCTTGTCCTCTCGGTTTTCTTGTCTGCTCCGTTCATTTCTCTATTGCTTTTTGTGTAGTCTGTAAACGTCTTTAGCTTGGCTTTTATAATTCTATTTCCGTTTCCGCAGCGAGCAAAAACTTTTCGCTCTTCTCGTCTATTTTTTTGCCTCCCCTCTCTTTCTCGCACGCTTTGTCTCTTCGATTTTTGCGTCCTTTTCTAGCGTTATTTTCTTGGTCTGCTGCAAATCAAACTTTTCTACATGGTTTATAACTTGCTACATGTCCTTTAGCCACACGCACACGCACACACGCACACACGCACACATACACAAATTCACATACACATACATGCTGAAGATAGTGTGCAGGGATGTATGTGCCATCATCATTGTCATCATCACCATGGCGCTGGACTTCTGTTCGGCATCCTTTGCTTCGTCCCCCACATACACTCACACACACAAAGATGCAGGACACATATCGGAGCATACTTTTGTGCGTCTCTACGCTGTCACTCGCGTGTTTGTAGTTGTGTCAACGCATTGACATTGAATTTGTGTGTCATTTAGTGGGGTCGCTGGCATGTGAGGGCTTACCAGAGCCCCTCGTGCTTTCAACAGCCCGCATAATTTAGCGCAAACTGCTCCGTGAGCAGCTCTAAAGACATTCAACTGTGGCTTGCATTTTGCGGTCATGTGTAAGTGAGAGTATGTGTGTCTCTGTCTGTGTGAGTTCGCCTCTTATCTTCATGCTGTTCCCTCATTTTTGCGGCTACCATTTACTTGTTTTAATATCAAAGTTTAAGTTTTTCGGCTCTGCAATGGATTTCTTCTCCCACGCTCATTCAATTTTCTTCCAAGCATTAGTACGATCGTTAAAATTTATAACTCAATTGTGCGCATGTTCTTCATTTAGCAAATTATATTTCGCAATTGCCTAAAAGTATGCAATAAAAATGGCACAGCCATCACCTCTAACTCCTGTACGTGTACGTTTACCTTATTCTGTGTGTGTGTGTGTGTGTGTGTGTTTGTATGTGTGCCACATAAAAATTTAATTTCTAATAATAATATTTTATGATGACCAGCTCCC